ACTTCAGTTCTCATGTTGGCTAGAGGTCACTGAGAACTGTAGTTCAAAAAGAACTATATTTCCAAACATTGGAACTAAAATTTCCCCCAACATATTAAGGACCATAGGGAGTTTTAGTCATTGTAGTATCCCATCTACCCTCCAAATTGGCTGGTTTTAGTGGGTTCATCAGAAGTCTAAAGATTCTCCTACCTAGAGCCAAGCTGCTTTAGGAAGTGGGACTGAATAGCTACAGTGATGATGCATTGAGAATTCTCTACAGAGAAAGGGAAAGTCAAACCCACAGGGTGGGGATCTGGAAAAGAGCAACAATGAGCAAATTCATAGGAACTTGGGATACTGGCTTCCACTAGATCAGACCATTTGTGCAAATACAACTGAGGACTGTGTAACACAGACTGACAGCAGATCTCAAGAGGAGTAGCTCTTTCCTAGCACATACAGTTCTTCTTTGGTCTGTATAATTGGAGGTGCTTAGGATTCATCCCGGGAGACCTTCTGTATGAAAAGCATGGATGTTAATGCCAGTGGTAATACTGTTTCCTTCTCCCACCCTTGTTGCGTCACATCATCTTCTTTGTTGACAAAGCAGCTGTTGAACTGTTTATGAATGTAGTTGTCATTGCTGTTACAATAACTAATTTTTCTACCAAATAGTCAAAACGGAAAGCTAAACCTTTAACTTTCCCTTTACCATCATGTCTCCAGATAATCTAAAGCATCGTTTCTCAAACTGAGAGTTGGGACTCCCGGGGGGGGGGGGGGGGTCATGAGAGGGTTTCTGAGGGGTCACCAAAGATCATCAGAAAACACATATTTCAGATGGTCTTGGGAATCCCTTTGGCAGAGAAGGCTGAAGATCTCTCCACCTATCCTTCTCTTCCTTTCTGGAAACAGACAGCGAATCCTCCCATCAAAAGCTCTCCTCCGCTGTGACTGGACAGCCTCTTAGTCAAGGGGAGGCTGTTTCTGACACTCAACGCCAGGAGAGGGGAGCACAGGCGTGCTCAGTACATGGCAGTATGGGGCTCATGTGTGGGCAAGGGAGAGTGTGTGAGGCAGGAGGGAGACTTGCACCAGTGAGTCCCTTCAAGGCATGGGGGTTCTGTATGGGACGTTCAGCCTAATTCTATCATTGGTGGGGTTCAGAATGCTCTTTGATTGTCGTTTAACTATAAATCCCAGCAACTAAAACTCCCAAATAACTATAACTATAAATCCCAGATTTCAGAATGTTCTTTGATTATAGGTTAACAATAAATCCCAGCAACTACAACTCCCAAATAACAAAATCAATCCCTCCCCAACCCCACCAGTGTTCAAATTTGGGCATATCTGGTGTTTGTGCCAAATTTGGTCCAGTGAATGAAATACATCTTGCATATCAGATATTTACATTACCATTCATAACAGTAGCAAAATTACAGTTATGAAGTAGCAACAAAAATATCATTATGGTTGGGGGTCACCACAACATGAGGAACTGTATTAAGGGGTAGCTGCATTAGGAAGGTTGAGAAACACTGATCTAAAGCCGACCTGTCGGAGTATGATCGTAATGATAATACTTGATATGAAGCTACAGTTCATGAAACCTTTAATTTTCCCTTTACCATTAAGTCCCAAGATGGTCTAAAGTGAAGTCTGACTTGGCCATGGTGGTCCACACCCTAGTTACCTCCAGATTGGATTACTGCAATATACTGTACATTGGGCTGCCTTTGAAGATGGCCCGGAAGCTGCAATTGGTTCAATAACAGGAGCTGGTTACAGGGAGAGGTCAACCGTCCTGTTTAAATAGCTCCACTGGCTGCCAATAAGTTTCCAGTCCCAATTAATGGTGCAGGTGATTCCCTACAAAGCCGTAAATGGTTCAGGACCTGCCTATCTTCAAGATCACATCTTCCCCTGCGAACCAGCATGCACTTTAAGATTGTCTGGGGAGGCTCTGCTCTTGCTTCCACTGATGTCTCAAGCGCAACTGGTGGGAACGAGAGAGATATATGTAATGTCTTTCTGCTTGTGGGTAAACAGTATTTCTTGCTGTTTCTTTGTCAGTGTTGATGTGGAGATTGTCTGGTTTGCCTACTCTGGAACATGCAACATATAATTGTCCTTCTTTAGGGATCCCTTTCAAATCTATGATACTATATCTCTCTTTGTGTGAATCATATCTATCTAACTATATCTATGGCTGGATGGCTCTTTTTCAGGAGGGCTTTGATTACGTTTTCTTGCTCTGGTGAAGAGAGTTGGACAGAATAGCCTTAAGTATTTTCTATTGGGGGTTCTGTGTGGGAAGTTTGCCCCAATTCTGTCATTGGTGGGGTTCAGCATGCTCTTTGATTGTAGGTGAACTATAAATCCCAGTAACTATAACTCCCAAATGTCAGGGTCTATTTCCTCCAAACTCCATCTGTGTTCATATTTGGGCATATGGAATATTCATGCCAAGTTTGGTCCAGATCCATCATTGTTTGAGTCCACAGTTCTCTCTGGATGTAGGTGAATTATAACTCCCAAACTCAAACTACGAAACCCTTCTAGTGTTTTCTGCTGATCATGGGAGTCCTGTGTGCCAAGATTGGTTCAATTTCATCATTGGTGGAGTTCAGAATGCTCTTTGATTGTAAGTAAACTATAAATCCCAACAACTACAACTCTCAAATGGAAAAACCATTTTTTTGAGTGATGGTCACTCCTTGAGTTAGTAGGTGTCTTGTGGCCAAATTTGGCGGCAATTTGCCCAGTGGTTTTTGAGTTATGTTAATCCCACAAACAAACATTACATTTTTATTTATATAGATGAAACTGGAGTTCATGAAACCTTTAACTCTCTTTACCATTAAGTCTCCAGATGACCTAAAGCCTACTTGTTTATGATAAGGATGATGATAATAAAGCCAGTATTTTATCTTGCAGTACAAAGCGTAAGGAATGCAACAAGCTAATGAACACTTCAGCACTGCATGCTGGAAAGCAGTATACAGTGAGCCCTCCACATTGTTGGGGTTAGGGGCACAGAAGCCCTGCAAAATTGGAAAAACTGTGAATAAAAAAACCCCTATTATTTTTCCTAGAAGAATACTTCTCTAGGATCTGCAGGTCTTCCAACAAGAGTCTAAGACAGGCCTGCACAACCTGAGGGGTAAGGGGTCAAAATTTGACAAAATAAGCATCTTAGGGCTCTAGATATGTTATTAGTACCTCACTTTCCAAGTCAGATATAATTCATGACTAATTAGTATTAATATTTTGTTGTGTTCTTTGAAGTCTTAGGGTGACCCTATCAGTTTTCTTGTCAATATTTATTCAAAGGGGACTGGTCTTCCTCTGAGGCCGAGAAAATGTGACTTCTCTCAAGTCACCCATATAAAAATGTGTTTCTATCTGTTGGGTTATTATTTTTTGTAATTATGTGTGTATTGGTTGTTGTATTCAGGCACTGCATGTTTGCCTTTTTATGACTGGAATATGCAGAGTCCCTTCGGGGAGATTGGGCAGAATATAAATAAAGTATTACTATTATTTTACTGACACAAAAACACAGTATGTCACAGCAAATGAGATATATATGCTGGATTTTGTATCACAAAATCACAAGTTGAAAACTTCCCAAGTGTCTAGGACTGTGTGATATTATTATAATTATTACTATTATTATTATTATTATTATTATTATTATTATTATTATTATTATTATTTTCACTCAAGTCGCCCAGGGGGTTCAAAGCCATAGTCAGGTTCCAAGTACTATACCACTATTCCTTCCCTCTTTTTCCTACTTCACTTTCTCTCTTTTTTACTTTTCTTCTTTCCCTGTTTCTTACCTTTCCTCCTTTTCTCCCTTCATCATTCCTTCCTTCTCTTTTCCCTCCCTCCTTCTTTCCATCTCTTTTGCCAATTTCTCTTTAGAGTCTCACTTATCTAACCTTCGGTCATCCAACGTTCTGTATTATCCACTGCAGTTTGCCTCCCACCCGGATCCACAGCTGCTTCAATACATTGCGCCGTTTTGGTGCTAAATTAGTAAATACAGTAATTACTATGTAATGTTACCATGTATTAAACTGCTTTTTCTGATGATTTGTTGCAAAACATGATGTTTTGGTGTTTAATTTGTAAAATCATAACGTAACTTGACATTTAATAGGCTTTTCCTTAATCCCTCCTATATGGTTCCAGCCCAGTTTACCTGTCCGAATGTATTCTCCCCTATGCACCATCAAGGACGTCAGGATCTTCCGGAGAGGCCCTGCTCTCAGTCCCACCACTTTCGCAAGCGCGTTTGGTGGGAACGAGAGACAGGGCCTTCTCTGTGGTGGCCCCTCAGCTATGGAACTCTCTCCCGAGCGAGATTAGATCTGCCCCCCTCCCCCTTGTCCTTCAGGAGGCTAGTGAAATCCTGGTTATGGAATGAAGCATTCCCAGAATGATGATTGAGACTGGTTACAGACCAAAGTGAGTGACCACATATGCGGACTGAGTTGATTTTACCTTGGCGATTTGGTATATATGTATTTTATCTATATGTATTTTAATTTTGTATTGTTGTATGATGTTTTAACTTGTATTAGTAGCATTGAATCCTTGCTCTAAGCCGGTCTGAGTCCCTCTACGGAGGTGAAAAAATTGGGATATAAAAGTTTTAAATAATTAATTAAATAAATAAAATTATCCAACATTTTCGCTTATCTAACATTCTGCCGGCCTGTTCATGTTAGATAAGCAAGACTCTACTATATTTATTTTTCTGGCTGAAGCTGACCAAAGAATCGAGCTGGAGGATGTGGGGCAGGTCTAGAGATCCCTATTAACCAAATCCATAAATAATCAAATCTGCAAAAGTCAGACCCACAAATGTTGTCATGCAGCAGTCCATTCTCCAACAGTAAAATTAAAATAAGCACGCCATCAGAATGTTTCCAAAATAAATAAAGATTTATTTTACAGTATTTATAAAACTTTGTCATTATTTTTTTAAAAAAAATTCTCATCATTCAACTATTTTTTTCCTTTTTTCCTTAAAGAAACCATTAAATAGACTTTTTTAATTATTAAAATAGGACAAATAAATAACTTTGGATGCCTTCATTTTCTTGCATGAAACGGATTCCCCCCCTTACTCATTATAGTAAGAAAGAGGTGATGGGGAAACTGACCAGTGTTATCTTTCTTTCCAGGTTGGGAAAAAAAATGCAAGGTAGGATTTCCCCATTTCTGTTGCCCAACTGTAAACCTATGCTTTGTAAAACCTCAAGTGTCCATAAGGCAAGATAAGGCACAATGCCTTTGTTTACTTTTTTCAGAAAAGAAAGAGAGAGAAAAAATAGAGAGAGAGAGAGAGAGAGAGAGAGAGAGAGAGAGAGAGAGAAGTAAAGTCATTGTATAGGCCAGGACTCCCATTCTAGAGAAGTAAGAGTTTTTTCCTCCACTTCTCCAACCTTTTGCAAACTTCAGTGGAACATCTGCAAAGTCTGAGTCTCTTTCGCTCAGTTGAGTGGCCGCTCTGCTCCGACTCAGAAGTGTCCTGGCATTCAGTGCAATGAGACCGGGTCTTGTGCAGCGCAGATCCCTATATTTTCCCCACAGCAGCAATGCCATGTCTCAGAARTGAAAGAAGACAATGCTGGTGCTCCCTGAATGAGAACATTGAATACTAATAAATAAACTGAGGTCAGAAATGTTTCCCGGGTGCAGAAATGAGAGAGAAGGGGTAACTAGGAGCTTCTCTCCGTCAGTTGGGTGAAACAGAYACCCTTTCCTGAGATACCATCATCTTCCAGGAGCCTTCCACCAGTTTTGAGGCTTCTTCAGAACTTGGCTTCTGKAAGAGAACTCAAGGAGCCTAGACTTCACCTCTACTGACTATAGGGGAAGCAAGGAAGAGGGGGCCATCCTCAATCACAAACTCCATGAGAAGCTCCTCCTAGGCTAGAACTTTGTCAACAAACTAAGACTCCCAATTCCCAGTCTTCACCTGTCCAGTAGTGGCCAGGTATAGATATCAAGTTGCCCAGCCCTTTCTCTCTGTCCATTTCACACCTCAACACTGTAGAAATCCACTCTTTTCCGGCAGCACTTCCGAACCCACACCCAATAGAGCATGATCATGAATGTCCAGTAGCCCAGGTAGATGGCCGAACCAATGAGAAGGTACCAGATCTCGGTTTGCTTGGCGTCCGTTGTCCAATCAGCTAAGGCCTCCAAGTAGATGGTATAGATCAGGCCTCCCAAAAGGAGCAGACCCCAAATAGAAACAGGCAGCAGAGGCATGTAGTTCCCCACCATTTTCTTCCGGCCCGAGGTGCCCCAGCTGCTCTTGTTCATGGTCACAATGGCAAAGTATTTAGCTGGGAGCAGGCCGCCCATGTAGAGCACGGCATAGAGGGACATGAAGATCATGATGAAGTTTCCCCTCAGCCAGCAGGCGTAAAGGGCCTTCACGCAGGCCACCAACTGGACACACAGTAGCACCCACAGTATGTCCCACAGGTTTCCCCCATAAAAGAGCCGTAGGACGGTGGCTGTGACGAAAAAGGGGAAGATGCCAGAGACCACAGACTCATAGGTCATCCATAAGTGGTGACGGTGCCACCAGAGGGCATTGTAGAGCCACTCCCGGAAGTAGGATTTGGTCCAACGGGTTTGCTGTGCCAGCCAACGCAGGAATAAGGACGGGGTCTCTGAGTAGCAGCGGGAGCGAGCAGTGTATCTAGTGCAAGGAGAGGAGAAATTCAATATTATGTAATTCAGGTATGCTTCTATTTCCATAACAGCCTAGCATCTTATTATTATTGAGCCTCCTTAATATTATTGAGTCCCCTCAAGGAGATAGGGTGGAATACAAATACAGTATTATTATTATTATTATTATTATTATTATTATTAGTATTGTCAAAGGCTTTCATGGCCAGAATCACTGGGTTGTTGTAAGTGTTTCATGCTATATAGCTATGTTCTAGAAGCATTCTCTCCTGATGTTTTGCCTGCATCTATGGCAAGCATCCTCAGAGGTTGTGATAATAATAATAGTAATCATCATCATCATCATCATTGCATTACCTGCCTTTCCCTGCGGCTCAAAGTAGGATACAACATCATTAAAACCATGAAAAGTTTTAATGAAATGCAATTTAAAATTCACAACTTCAGAGCTTCGCAGAAAGGTCTTTTCCCATGTAGGTATTTGAGGTCCTTCGTCATACCTCTATGGTTTGCTTCCACCTGAGGTTGTTGGTTCAATACAGTTTTCGAATATTCATGATTTTGCATAGCCCCATAAATTCCTGGAACGTATCTCCCGCATGGAGACAGGAGTTGAACTGTACTCTTCCTATTTCCCTGCTGTGATGCATTCTACATGGATCTTGTTTCAGAAGATCGAGTTATCTATGTTTACTTACTTGGTGGCATAGCCGATGCTCAGCATCCTGTTGGTGAGGTGCCGATCATCCCCAAACGTACAATGGGTTCCAAGGAACTTCTGATTGTACCAGGACTCCAGAAACTGCTGCAGGAGGTCATTCCGATACAAGCCTGAAGAGGGAAGATGGCCAGAAGATGAGACCAGAAATGGAGAAAAACCTGCTGAGTCCCAAACCTGGTGTCTCCAGATAGACTTTAGGGGGGCTGTGAACCTAATGCAAAAAAATGACCCTTCTCCCTTGATCTTCTTCTTGTTACTTTGGGGAAAGAGGGTTCACAGCTTCCATCAAATTCTCAGGTTGGTCTATTACTTAAGAAGTTTAAGAACCATTATCCTAAATTATGTCAAGAGACACCACAGAGGTATATCAAATCAAATCATTTATTTCGGTCATAGACCAGCACAAGAAATAAAAGTCACATTTTTATATGAACTTGATACATTTAGTACAATTAAAATGTAAATATAAATACTGAAGCACAATAGGGGGTGAGCTGTATAAAAATGTGCAATATTCTCCCTGAAAGGACAATGGAAGTACAGCTAATCATTTTTTCATAATTGCATATACCAGTCCATAGATGAGGATGCTCATTAAAACTGATAGTATAACTAAAGTATATATTATTTGGGATGCTTATTTACTTTAAGTAATTCTGATGTCAATTATAGTTATCATATTCTTGAACAGGTACATAATGTACAGCTTAGATTTAGAGTATTCTTCCAGATCTAAAGTGCTGACTACTTCACACACATAAAGCCCTGATATTGGGTGCAGTAAACATTTAGCATGAGGAAAGTATGATCAAGCAACATCAGAATATAGTCAAGATGGCAAATGCTATTAATGAGGAAGTACTCATAAGCTAGGAGAGGCTGCAGCAGTTTGCTTTTGCCTGAGCCTTTTTTTTTAATCGTGTCAGGAGCGACTTGAGAAACTGCAAGTCGCTTCTGGTATGAGAGAATTGGCCATCTGCAAGAATGTTGCCCAGGGGACGCCTGGATGATTTGATGTTTTTATCATCCTTGTGGGAGGCTTCTCTCATGTCCCCACAAGAGGAGCTGGAGCTGACAGAGGGAGTTCATCCACCTTTCCCCGGATTCGAACCTGCGACCTGTCGGTCTTCAGTCCTGCCGGCACAGGGGTTTAACCCACTGCGCCACCGGGGGCTCCTGAGCCTACTGAGAAGGACACAATTATACTCCCTCCTCCCCAATCCCCACTGATCTATTACTATATATACTCGAGTATAAGCTGACCCGAATATAAGCCGAGGCACCTAATTTTACCACAAATAACCTTGGAAAACGTATTGATTCAAGTATAAGCCAAGAGTGGGAAATGCAGCATATACTGGTAAATTTCAAAATAAAAATAGGTACCAATAAAATTACATTAATTGAGCCATCAGTTGTTTTTGAATATTTACATAAAACCGTAATTTAAGAAAAGTTTGTCCAACTCTGATTCAACTATCATTCTAACCTTCTTCAATGTAAATGTGCTTACGTACAGTATCCTTACAAAAATAATAAAGTAAAATAATAAATGTAATAATAATAGAGTAATACAATGGAAATGTAATAATAACAGAAATAATAGAGTAAAATAATAAACAGAATAATAATAAATAGAATGAACTAATAAATGTAATAAACAATAATAGAGGAAAATTATATAAATGTAGTAATAATAATAATAGAGCAAAATAATAAATGTAATAATAATAATAATAATAGAGTAATATAATGGGAATGTTATAATAACAGTAATAATAGAGTAAGATAATAAATGTAATAATAATAATAATAATAATAAATAGAGAAAAATAACAAATATAATAATAATAAAGTGAACTAATAAATGTAATAATAATAATAATAAGCAAAATAATAAATGTAATAATAATAATAATAATAATAGAGTAATATAATGGAAATGTTATAACAGTAATAATAGAGTAAAATAATAAATGTAATAATAATAATAAAGTAAAATAATAAATGTAATAATAACAAGAATAAACAGAATAAAATAATATTATATAAAATAATATATATAATAAAATAGAATGAAATAATAAATGAAATAAATAATAAATATAGAAGAAAATAATATAAATGTCATAATAATAATAGAGTATAATAATAATAATAATAATAATAATAATAATAATAACACAGTAAAATAATAACCTTGACTCAAATATAAGCCGAATGGAGCTTTTTCAGCCTGAAAAAAGAGCTGAAAAACTTGGCTTATACTCAAGTATATACGGTAACTACTTTTATGTTTTGAACCCAGTTTGGAACAATGTAAACTGAAGGAAAATGGGAGGAGAAGAGACATTTCGAAAGCAGCTGAAAAAGTGGGATAGCAGAGGATGAATCACGACTGTCTATATCAAATTTGGGGGAAATCCCATGTTCTTTCCGATCTTAAGTAGTAACACCACTGTGTATTAAGATGAAGAAGAACGAAACCATGGTTGGGAGAAGCCTTACCCAGAGGGCCACTGATGCAGGAGACACAGTTGAAGAAAGACTGGCAGGCACGCTCAATGTTGAAGGCCATCCAGTAGCGCAAGCTGCTCATGAAGCTGATGTAGGAGTCAGAGAGGTTCAGGATCCGCACATCCCCACCAACTGCCCCATAGCGTTCATTTGACTCCAACACCTTCACCAGTTCCACTGTCGCCTGTGGCTCCAGTTTAGTATCTGAGTCACAAACCTGGGAAAAGGCAAGAAATTTAGACCAGAGGCAAGGCAAGCACAATTAGATTTTGCTATCTGAAGCAGAGCAATCCCTGTCATCTACCTAGCCAGTTGCGGTGGCACAATGGGTTAAACCCTTGTGCCAGCAGGACTGCGAACCAAAAGGTCAGCGGTTCGAATCTGGGGAGAGTATGTTGAGCTTCCTCTGTCAGCTCCAGCTTTTTCTATTTTGTAACATGTGTTTGAATCTGGGGAGTGGGGTGAGCTCCCATTTGTCAGCACCAGCTTGAGAGAAGCCTCCCACAAGGATGGTAAAACATCCGGGCATCCCCTGGGCAATGTCATTGCAGATGGCCAATTCTCTCACACCAGAAGCAACTTGCAGTTTCTCAAGTCGCTCCTGACACAGAAGAAAAAACCTAGCTAAACATCCGGACTATAGGGTTTAGGACCTAAATCCAGCCAAATTATTTTGGCGAAGGAGAGATACATTATGCCAGCACAATGCAACATCCAGCCAGGATAGTGACATTACATGGCACCCATCAACATTTGAGTGCTGTTGCTTTGTGCAGTGTCCAACTGCAATATGTAATGCGTAATCACAATGCAGAATGTTGATATGTGTACTACTCCAACTGCCATCAGCAAAATACATCTGTTGCACTATAGCAAATCACCCATATGTGTAGGACATGTCACACAAGCATATATCACAAAAAAGATGCCAGCTAGAAAATTCCATAAGTGCATTTCCATTTCCTTGGTGATGAAAACCTAGTACCAATTGTGTCCATTAACTATATGCTTGTCATTCAAAATACCCCAAATTGGTTGCTGGAGGTGGTTGCTTCATTCTGCCTAACAGAAAAACCGGACTAAGAACATTCTTGGTGCTTTTACTTTGCTGGAAACATGTTGGCAACACAAGTGGAAGTCTGTAGAAGAGGTGCCATAGGTGGTTCGTGCAAAATTGTCAGTGGAGGGATGTAACTTCTAGTTACCATTGCATGAAAGGACGGGATACCAGTGCTTTCTCATCTCTGGCAAAGCCCACATGCACATACTACTACTCCTAGAGGGGAATCTACAGCAACCAAGTGAGGTATACATGAATGTCCAGATTTCATGGCCCTGCTAAGAATACAACAACTATATTTGTGTTTTGTTTGGGGAGAAGTGCCATGCAATGAAGAGCCTGCTGGGACTTGGGAGGGTGCTCAACAGACAGCCAGGCTTAGATGCTGTCTCAGCTTGCAAAAAAAGTCTGGCTTGAGGCAAAAAAGTCACACTTTCGTTGCTCAATTGCCTCATCTGTAAAATGGGAATGATACATTCTTAATCGTAGGAGTGAGTAATCCATGAGCAAGCAAGAATCAAATCCTGTTTTCTGTGGTCAAATTAATGAGCTGGGTTGATGTTTTGGCTGCAAACAACTAGGGCAAAAGAACATATTGCTTTTCATAATGTATGGAAATCAATTTGGAAAGCAGAATTAGTTTAGATCTATGAGGGTTGAATGAAAAGTAATGCCTCCACCTTCGTAACTCCTCAACAGATGGCAGTACTGGTATGTGGCAGGTACTGGCTTTTTCAGTAGACTTTCCTCTACAGTTCCACTTTGGAGGGAAGCCTTAGCATTGATCGGTTGTGTAGTTAAATTAAGAAGTATGGAATCCTGCACATACGTTCGGTCAATGTGACTTAAACAACGTGCAGTCATTGAATTCTTGACAGCAGAAGATGTCATTGCAAAGGAGATTCATCAGAGAATGCAAGCTGTTTATGGTGATTGTGTTGATGCGAGTACTGTATGTCATTGGGCGAGTAAGTTTAAAGATGTTGAGATAACACCTTCTGCTGTCAAGAATTCAATGACTGCATGTTGCTTAAGTCACATTGACTGACTGTCTGCGCAGGGTTCCATACTTCACACTTTAACAACACAACTGTTCAATGCTAAGGCTTCCTGCCAAAATGGAACTGTAGAGGAGAGTCTACTGAACAAGCCAGTACCTGCTGCATACCAGTTCTGCCATCTGTTGAGGAGTTATGAAGGTGGAGGCATTACTTTTTATTCAACCCTCGTAGATTTAAAAGGCATTTATGTGTGAAAGGGACAACTTTGGTCCTCCAAAGCCTTTTGGACTACAGTCCACATAATCTCTCGTCATAGGCAATGTTTGAGGATGATGAAACTGGAATCCCATAAAATCAGGAAGGGTTGGAGTTGTCCATCCTCAGGTTATACAGAGTAAAGAAACATGGGTTATTTAGTAACCATGTCTGTAGCGCAAGCAAAATTAATTATTTTGCATCTACATAAACAAATTTCTACAAACTATAACATTCTGCAGAAGTAGTAAATTTGTATCTTTCCTTCTTTATTTGCTTTGAATTGAGAGGGCAAAAGGATGTTTGGCTCTTCAGAGGTTTGGGGGCTCCCAGCTCCTATTAGAACAAAGGTTGAGGACAATGGAAATTCTTTAACCCTTTAACTGATCTTGTGAGCAATCTTGTGAGCTTTACTTATGATTAAGCATTTAATGTAAACTGTAGATTGGTAGGAAAATGAAACTGAATGTAAAGATAAAGATTAAGGCAGCAATTATGCAGAAAAGTGACACATTTACAGGTGTTGGCACGTTTCAAGGTGGGTGCTTATCGAGTTGGATGTTGTGCTGAGGATATGCAGTGTTAGACTAGGATCAGGGGAGCCAGGGTGCATCTTTGATATGTTTCATTATCAAATTTAAGATACTCTATTTGCATCTGATGCAATTGCATTTAATGAAGTGTACTAAAGTTCAAAGAAGTTTATACTGAAATATACTAGTTAATCTCAAAGGTGTTGCTCTCTGTCTTTCTTCTTAGGCTTTTTATTTGTTGTGTCAGGCAACCAGTCAATTATATTACATTTCTAACAGAACAAAGCAAACAAACAGACAAAATACAAATTTTGTGAGTTTGGTAGTTGATTAAATGTCCTTTGACCAGTATCTGGCCACTTGGAGTGCTTCTGGTGTTGCTGCAAGAAGGTCCTCCATTGTGCATGTGGCGGGGCTCAGGTTGCATTGCAGCAGGTGGTGAGTGGTTTGCTCCTCTCCACACTCGCATGTCGAGGATTCCACTTTGTGGCCCCATTTCTGAAGGTTGGCTCTGCATCTCGTGGTGCCAGAGCGCAGTCTGTTCAGCGCCTTCCAAGTCGCCCAGTCCTCTGTGTGCCCAGGGGGGAGTCTCTCATTTGGTATCAGCCATTGGTTGAGGTTCTGGGTTTGAGGCTGCCACTTTTGGACTCTCGCTTGCTGAGGTGTTCCAGCGAGTGTCTCTGTAGATCTTAGAAAACTATTTCTAGGTTTAAGTTGTTGACGTGCTGGCTGATACCAACGACTTAAATCTTCTTAGGCCAATATAAATGAATGCAATTATCTCTTTGCAAACACAGTTCACTCCATGTGGCACAATTGTTTTGTATGCAGAACTGTGCTATTCCGAGCCATTTATTACTTTCCCAGGCCTACCACAGAGCAGCATGTATGCCTGAAGCAGAGTGGGAGAATGGAAGAAGTATCTGGCTATGACTCTATAGCCCAGTGGTTCCCAATCTTTTTTTGACCAGAGACTACTCTGACCAGGGATCACTTGACCAGGGGCCACTCCGACCAGGGATCACTTGACCAGGGACCACTCTGACCAGGAACCACTCTGACCAGGGACCACTCTGACCAGGGACCACTTGACCAAGGACCACTTTGACCAGGAACCACTATGACCAGGGACCACTCTCCAACATTAGTACCAAAAGGGTTATGAATCAGTTTTTGGTCAACTTTATTTGGGTTTGGTTATTTGGGGTGCTGATTCAGAAAATTGCATTTGATAGACTACAACAGTTCTAGTTTCTGATACTGAACCTATGCCATCCAGTAGTCGCCATCCGCTCACTCACAGAAAACCATATTTAATAACCCCTTGGCACTATAAGAGGGTTTCGCAAGACCAGTCGCTCTCGTTGCAACTGTGTAGTAACTTTGAGGCTGCAGACCACATTTTAGTTCTTGGGAACCACTGGTGGTCCATGGACGACAGGTTGGGAACCACTGCTATAACCAGACATGAAATGATGACATAGTCTGCTGATGTCCATAGGATAATCTGTTATGTCTTGCTACAGGGAAACTGCCAAATGCTTCTGCAATGCCTCTGTTCTCCTTCAAGCATCATTGGCCATTGAGGCTTCTGGAGCAATATAGTAGGTCTGGTGTGTGTGTGTGTGTGGTTGCTGTAGAGGAAGGAAGGGAATACCAACTTCCACAGTAGCCAAAAATAGATGTATACACCCATGAGGTTAACGTAAACTACCAGTGTATGGCACTAACAGGATGGCAGCTCATGTACATCATTTTGAGATTTATTTTTTCGTGTCACGAGTGACTTGAGAAACTGCAAGTCGCTTCTGGTGTGAGATAATTGGCCGTCTGCAAGGACACTGCCCAGGGCATGCCTGGATGTTTGATGTTTTACCCTCCTTGTGGGAGGCTTCTCACATGTCCCCACATGGGAAGCTGGAGCTGACAGAGGGAGCTCAACCTACTCTCCCCTGATTCGAACCACTGACCTGTCAGTCAGCAATCCTGCTGGCACAAGGGTTTAACCCATTGCACCACCAGGGACTCTGAGATTCTCATATGAAAGATAAGTTGATAAAATACAACATTGGATGAGACAGAAATCACTTACCTGGACATAGTCCACTGAGTTCCCCAGGGCCTTGAAAGCTGTGTACATGACTTCCCTCTTCCCGCCCCATTTCTGCATGATGCAGACACATCTCTTAGTCCGGATTAGCTCTTCTACGACCAGTTGCCCGGGGTCATCCATGTCTATTTCACTATAGAGGGATGGCTCATCCCCAGCCTGGTAGCCACTGTCCCCTTCATCCACATCCAGGTGAGGTTGGTGGTGGTAGTTGTTATCCCAGATAAAACTGCCCACGTCCTCTTCTGCAAAGACTTCCTCGAACATATCCATCATGTACCGGTCATCAGGGCTGTTGCCATCTATCACCATGATCACCCGGAGCTTGTCAGGGGGATATAAGGTTCCCTTGACGGACTGAAGGCACTCCCGAAGGTAAGCCGGATCCTCCTGATAAGCAGAGATGGTGAGAGCCACTGTCTTTGTATAGCTGCATTTCAGTGAGTCCCTCCTCATCTTTTTGTGCTCCAGAAAGGCAAAGAAGCTCTGAATGACAAGATGGCATGCGAGAAAGGCGCCGTAAAGACCAAACGCCATGATGTGGTACTGGTCAGAAACCAGTTGGATCCCTGTGATGTATGCCCAAGCCAGGACGGAGAGTATGAGTAAGGCAAAGCCGATGGTGAGGATCCGACGGCCAGTCGATACAATGATCTTGGGAGCTTTTGTGACGTCCATGCCTAGCAGGAAGAATTCAGAGAAGTGAGTGCCTTTGGTCATATCCAAGAGGTTCAATATTTAGCAGTAGGGGAAGTATTTATGATATCATTCCATTGTAGTTATTTTTAAAACCCACATTGCTAACCCTTATGACTATGGATATGATTGGAAAATGTGAGCACAGAAGCTCACATATTGTGTCCAGTTCTGGGCACCACAACTGAAGAGAGATGTTGACAAGCTGGAATGTGTCCAGAGGAGGGCGACTAAAATGATCAAAGGTCTGGAGAAAAAGTCCTATGAAGAGTGGCTTAAAGAGCTGGGGCATGCTTAGCCTGAAGAAGAGAAGGCTGAGAGGAGACATGATAGCCATGTATAAATATGTGAGAGGAAGTCATAGGGAGGAGGGAGCAGACTTGTTTTCTGCTGCCCTGGAGACTAGGACGCGGAACAATGGCTTCAAACTACAAGAAAGGAGATTCCACCTGAACATGAGGAAGAACTTCCTGACTGTGAGAGCTGTTCAGCAGTGGAACTCTCTGCCCCGGAGTGTGGTAGAGGCTTCTTCTTTGGAGGCTTTTAAACAAAGCCTGGATGGCAATCTGTTGGGGGTGCTTTGAATGCAATTTTCCTGCTTCTTTGCAGGGGGTTGGACTGGATGGCCCATGAGGTCTCTTCCAACTCTATGATTCTATAAGCCCCAGAAATTGCCGAATAGGATCATAATCCAGTAAATGACTTACACCAGCATAACCCCCCAATTTAAAATGTGGTGCTATAGGAAATGTCTATACCTGCTATAGACTTCTATAGGAATAAATGGGTCTTCAAGCAAATCGGGTCTTCCCAAGAAGACAAAATGATCAAACAAAAACTTTGGACATATCCCGAAATGACTGTAAATTACTATAGAGCATGGTAAAGAGGAAGGCAGTAGGGAAAAAAGAAGACTACACTATAGGTGGATGGAAGCCATAGTCAGTCAAGGAAGCTGTGGTTTTGCAAAATGTGAAGAAGGCAGCTAATAAGTGGGTTGCTTGGTGGTCTCTCGTTCATATGTTTACCATAAGCAGAAATTGATTTGATGGAATATTTCACCATGAAGTACTTTTAAAGATGTTAAAGGTGAAGGCATTCTGTACCTCCTTTTGCAATACTTTAGAAGTGTCTAAAAGTATGAAAAAGAGAAAATTATGGGTCTTTCCTTACATTTGCATAATTCATTTAAGGTCACATCTCTCAGCTTCTCTAAGTACAGAATCTGGATTTACCAGATTCTTTTTCTTTAGCTTCAACTCTTCAACCATCATACTCACAAAAAAATTGGAATGCTGAATCCTATCTGTATATTTCCAAGGACAGGAGCCCCCAGTGGTGCAATGAGTTCAACCCTTGTACCAGCAGGACTGCTGACCAGAAGTCAGCGGTTCAAATCCAGGGAGAGTGGGTTGAGCTCCCTAGCTTGTTGCATTCCTTAAGTACTGTATGGCAAGATACTTAAAGAATCTTTATCATAAACAGGTAGACCATCTGGAGACTTAATGGTAAGAGAGTTAAAGGTTTCATGAACTGTAGTTTCATACCAAATATCATCATCATTGGGTTGTTGTAGGTTTTTCCGGGCTATATGGCCATGTTCTGGAGGTAATTTTTCTCCTGACGTTTCGCCTGCATCTATGGCAAGCATCCTCACCTCTGAAGATGCTTGCCATAGATGCAGGCGAAACGTCAGGAGAAAAATTGCCTCCAGAACATGGCCATATAGCCCGGAAAAACCTACAACAACCCAGTGATCCCGGCCATGAAAGCATTCGACAATACATCATCATCATCATTATCACCTTGTGGTGCAATGGGTTAAACCCTTGTGCCAGCAAGGCTGCTAATCAACAGGTCAGTGGTTCGAATTTGGGGAGAGTGGGTTGAGCTCCCTCTGTCACCTCCAGCTCCCTATGTGGGAACATGAGAGAAGCCTCCCACAAGGATGGTAAAACATCAAACATCCAGGCATCCCCTGGGCAACATCCTTGCAGACGGTCAATTCTCTCACACTAGAAGCAACTTGCAGTTTCTCAAGCTGCTCCTGACACACAAAATAATACAAGGATGGGATGATTTATGGGGGAAAAGAAATATAAATTTGGTGATGGGCCAGGTTGTATGTGTGTGTGTGTTTTTAGGATCCTTGAATTATCCTAAAAAGCTAATTTGTTCCCAACAGGAGAGGTAAAACCTTGGATGAGGAGCAACTTTGGGAGAAGTGGCCCAAGACATTTTGCCACTGGAGGCAAAGGACAGCATGGCTTCCTGTTCTATATTCGGAAACTAACTGGACTGTGGATGAATGCTAGTAATGGGATAGCATCAGAAGAAGCAAGCTGGCCAGTGAACCTTCTCTAGAGTCATAGTCTGAACTTTAAGAAGTTATCCAAGATGCTGAAACTTGGACAGGTTTTAAAAAATTCATACTAAAGCTGAAATTGGATTAACTACCCCGGTGCCATGAAACTGAAACATTGGGAGCACCAGCTGCTCTTGGATAGGATTATGCATTGCACTTAATGGCAGTGTGCCATTTATAGGTACATAGGTTACCCAACACACTGGAAAGAAAGAAGAGATGTCATTTATGTCCCTATGATCTGCTACCTCAAAGCGTTATTGAACTTTGCCCAATGGTAGAGCTGACCCTAAGTTCAGGATTCAGTGTTACAGCATACATTTGATTCTAAAGATTGTCCCTTATTGCAGCCCTGGGCTGCAATAACCAGTTGGGTAGAAGGCCCTGCCTCCATATTTACCTCTTTACCACTGCAGCTCCTTACAATATTTTGCCCCATTACATGCAAGAATAATGCATTGCATTGGTGCTCTCAACGTGCCAGTTAATTAGGTAACTTGCACTGACCACTCATTTTGTGCCCAGAACAAGGTTGCCCTGCCATGACACTCTCAAGCAGCTGAATCTGGGTGTCACAGAATGGCAGAACATCAACCTGAAAAGGGCGTGATAACAGTGTAGAAAATAAATAAATAGCAAACCATATTTTTTATAGCCAGGGATTTGGAGAGGGTTGCTTAATGGGATTTTCTGGGCCAAAACAAACTTGCCTGGCTTGGAGCACGACGCACCTTGGGTTCGGAGAGCTGGATGGGGAATGCCACCACTGATTGCAAAACATTTAGGCACCCATTTGAGGAAGAGCATGGCTGAAATGTTGACTCTCTGATCTTGGTTCTGGGAAGTTTCCTAGACTCTTGGTTAAATCTTGATATATCCCCCACTCCCTCAGCTTCCACATTGCCAAAGTTTTGCCAAACTCACTCATTGGCAAAGACGTCGGGTAAAGCTATAAAAAGTTATTAACGGGGCCAAGGAAGGGGTGTTTTCAAAATTTAAGGCAATTGGCAGTGTTGGTCACTGGATAAACAAATGAGAAAAGCACTCGATGTGATGAGTACAGTTAACCGCACCTCTCCTGGAATAGCACCTTAAGTTTTGCCCTCTTCTTACTTGTCCTTTTGGCTCCATCATCTTACTCATACTTTCAGCCACCTTGAAGACCAGTTTGGAGCAGAAAGGGTGGATTATCAGTATAATAATTAAACAAATCCAGTACCAACAGATATGTTGGACTATATATTTCATCATCCTAGTGAGATTTGTTTCCAGATAATTGTGTACACACTGGCAGGTAAGTTCATATCCAATCTGGCAGGGTGGGAGTGATGGGGACTGTAGTCCAGCACATTTGAAAGATACCAAAGTGTTTGTGGGAGACTGGTATATAACCTCTAACTGGGAATACATCCCACTGAAGTTATGGAATTCAATTCAGAGAAGAGCATATAAGTTCTACCAAGAATAACCAATGAGAAAGTTCTCAGTTGCACTATAAATTGTCTAAACACCTGTGGGTTCTCATGTTAGTTCTAGGTAAAGGTAAAGGTTTCCCCTTGACATTAAGTCCAGTCATTTTACGACTCTGGGAGTTGTTGCTCATCTCCATTTCTAGGCTGAAGAGCCAGCGTTGTCCATAGACACCTTCAGGGTCATGTGGCTGGCATGACTGCATGGTACGTGGTTACCTTCCCGCCGAAGCGGTACCTATTAATCTACTCACATTTGCATGTTTTCGAACTGCTAGGTTGTCAGAAGCTGAGGCTAACAGTGGGAGCTCACCCCTCTCCCCGGATTCAAACCAGTGACCTTTTAGTCAGCAAGTTCAACAGCTCAGTGGTTTAACCTACTGCACCAACAGGGCCCCCATATTAGTTCTAACTCCTATCAGTTCCCACCATTCCTACCTCCTCTATTGTTAAAGCATTGTGAAATAATATTTGGGCCTTAGGGTGAATAACAACAACAATAACAGTAAATATCCAAAATAAAAATATTTCCACCAGTTTGGGACTCAAGATAGCTTTGCAGTTGCTGTCTGCCTTCAAACTGTTCCTGACTTATAGTGACCCAAAGCAAGCCTATCATACGAGGGATGAATGAAAAATAATGCCTCCACCTTCGTAACTCCTCAACAGGTGGCACTACTGGTATGTGGCAGGTACTGGCTTGTTCAGTAAACTTTCCTCTACAGTTCCATTCTGACAAGAAGCCTTAGCATTGAATGGTTGTGTTGTTAAAGTGCGAAGTATGGAACCCTGCACAGACGGTTGGTCAATGCGACTTGAATTCTTGACAGCAGAAGGTGTCACCCCAAAGGACATTCATCAGAGAATGCAAGCTGTTTATGGTGATTGTGTTGATGTGAGTTCTGTGTGTCATTGGGCGAGTAAGTTTAAAGATGTTGAGGTGACACTTTCTGCTGTCAAGTATTCAATGGCTGCATGTTGCTTAAGTCGCATTGACCGACTGTCTGCACAGGGTTCCATACTTTGCACTTTAACAACACAACTGTTCAATGCTAAGGCTTCCTGCCAAAATGGAACTGTAGAAGAGAGTCTACTGAACAAGCCAATACCTACCGCATAGCAGTACTGCTATCTGTTGAGGAGTTATGAA